GTTATTTAAGCACCCCAGTTTTTGGTATTGTGTTAATGACAGCCCTAGAGAACTAATATACAAACTTGCTCACCCTGACCTTCCGTTACCACCACATCCACTCCTTGGGACCCCAACTTACTCCTGCTTCTTCTGATCACTTGTATGCTCCCAACTCTTCCCTAACCTCACTCCACACCCTCCTCTGCCTATGTCCTCCAGCCCTGTTTCTGTTCACTGGGTACCACTTGCATTTTGGATAGGGCAGTTCTCTGTATGGGGCTGTCCCACACACTGTAGGATGTCAAGTACCCCTGAGACTCTCATTCCCCCAGGATGCTACAGAGCCCACAAGGAGAACATCTACTCTAGCAGCTCTAAAGCCTCCTGCCCACCAGGGTTTGATTAAAGGTTTCCCCACCTACTGAGTAGGATCTCAGTCTGGTCAGCTTGCTTCAGTCTCTTCCTCTGGAAAATGGAAATAAATATTAATAATTACCCTGCCGTGTGTCAGTGAGGATCCAATGAACTAAAGATCCTAAAGTGGCCAGTTATACTCTCATTCGCGTTATTAGAGTAACTCAGGAATTAAGACCCACTCTATTCTACATGATCACATCCTGACTAACTGCCTTAGAACTCTTTTCTGAGGTGTCCTTACACAGGGAGGCCTCACTGAATACATTCATGGGGATGTAACACCTTACCAGGTAATTGTGTGTATAAAAAAGTTATAAATCACCCAAAGCAGTAGGTATGCACTTTTTCAAGTTGCAAACAGCAAGACAACTCTGAGCATAGTTTCCATGTGTTCCCCTTCCACACCCACCCTCACTTGAGGTTCTATCTGTGATTTCCTACTTTGCTTCCAATACCTTTGTATCTTTTGCTCCCAGTGATGGTGGCTCTCCAACATCCAGGGATATACTGATGTCTAGCTCATTTCACCCCGCCCCGTGGAAACATCTCCCAAGCCAGCATCAGTCCTTCACTCTTCCTTCATTAAACAGTTTGCATCCCAAGTCTCTGAACCGGGGAGAGAGAGAGAACTCATTTATGCCATGAGGGCAGAATCTATGTCTATTCTGACCATCGCATATGCCTAGTACCTAACATCACCTAATACAGAGCCTGGGTAAGTAAGTTTTCAGTGATTGTCTGATGAATACATGAATCATTCAATGCATGAATGAATGCATTCAGGCATCAAGAATCTGGCTTCCTATGAAATCTCAGCTCTGCACTGACTGGACATAAATGGCTTCCGGGAAAGCCACTTAATCTCTATGCCTAAATTTCCTTTTCTAAAAAATGAGGTGGTTGGGCTTCACTAAAAATATCTTTAGGTTTCCCTCCAACTCTAACAGAGCCCAGGAACTTTAATGAGGAGTAAAAGATTTTATTTACTTTTTGAGAAATGTTAGTCAAGGCAAGTAGGAAGGTAAAGATTCTTCCGAAATCACACAACCAGGGCTCCCCCACTGCCAAGCAGCTCCATGTTCCCTGAGAAACAAAAGGCTCCAGGCAGCAGACAAGCTGCAGAAACTAAAGACATCTCTGAGATGCTAAGCACTACAGAGTTTGTCATCGTCGGTTTCTTTCAGTCTTCTTTCAGGAGTCTACCCTGTCCCACCCAAAGCTCCCCCTTTCCAGCTTGAGCAGGATGGGCTCAAGAACTCTCTCCCAGGCTCCAAATCTAACTCAATTCCTCTCCCTGCCATCTGCCTAAGGCTCCCACATGCATATTTTATGATTTCTGGCACATTTCCTCTTTATCTGACATCCTGCAATGCATCTCTCTGCCTCCTATATTATTTCTAGCTCTGGTAAGAATGTTCCTGCAAGAAGCATGTGTCCTTAGGTTGTACTTTACTACCTTTCCTAACTCATCTCCCATCTGTGAATTCCTTGGAGACACAGACCACACCTTCTATTCTCTGGCTTCCCACAAGACCAAGGACAGAGCTGGGCAAGCAGCAGACTCTTAGAAAATACTTGTTGAATGAGTAAATGAAATAATTGACCGATTTCGATGTTTTTAAAGTAAAAAGTCATATTCACATATTTCCTGGACAAAGTTACTAAGACTTCCTCTTTCAGTAATACATCAAGAATAAATTAAATTTTAAAATGACATTTCTATGAATAAACTATTTTCTTAGAACTGAGAACAAAAAATTTCCCTACAATATAATGTGAATGAATAGCAACATGGTCAGTTGAGTAAGAAATCTGATTTTCAGGTATCTATAGCATAATAATGTGGCATTGCTTTTGTTTCCTAGTAAAAGCTGACTTCTTCTAGAGCCAGGTAAGACAAAAGAGGAATCATCCCTTGGTGTTAGTTATTCCAACTGCTAAAGTGGAGAGCTTAGGGGAATCAGAAGAAAATAGGATGATTTTCTCTAAATAGATGGTTTAAATCTATTGATGATTGAAGCAGAGCATCTTTTTAGAAATCCTGGGACTTACTTGGCTAAGACGAATTCTGGTCACATCCCTTCCTTGTGGTTTAATAAACTTCAGCTAAAACCAAACTGACTAAAGAATCAAATTATTTGTTCTCCTATGCACTTGCTGGCTACGGCTAGGCACCAAATGAAACACTAACAGCAGTCAACCCAACACTGCTGGAGGGAACACATCATGGCTATGCCACTAAAGCTTAATACAGCTTAATGCTACTGGCCCCATTAGCCTCGCCAGCCCAAGAATTGACCTAAATATCCTCATTAGTTCTTAGAAATTATTATTCTTACATATTAACATAACCTTAACATCACTAAAAGTATGGATATTACAGATAAACTGTGTACTGATATAGGAGATAAAAGTACAATTGGGGAGCCTCAATGAATAACTGTGTATTGATACAAGATATCATTGAGGAGACTCAATGAACAAGTATTTTCTAAAACCTGAAAAGACTGCGTCGTCAAACAGCAGAACATTAAAATAGATAATTAGTGTTTATGGTCTGTAAGCATGTGGTAACTGCGTATGTCTTCTAGCTCAAACGAAACCATGTCAGAACACATGCTATCAGGCAGGGCATTGAGGGGATCTGAGCCTTCACAGTAAAATGCCCAAGGAAAGAAATTCACCTTGAGACTAATAGGCAGGTATATTGTTCAAGCAAAAGAAGCTGTTATAATGATTCATCCACATTTACTCACCTGGTGAAGTCAAAAGACTTTAAAGCTAGCGTGCAATTCTGAGTTATTCATGAAAATCCTTCATTTTACAGAAGAGAAACTCAGGCAGAGATGAGGCACCTTATCCAAGCTTACACTGCACTAGTCAGGGCCCACACTAAAACTTTAGTCTCTTAATTTTAGCTCCATGTGCAAAACACAAAACATTAAATTTAAAAGTTAAAAAGGCACACAGCAGGCAGGCAATAAATATTTGCTAATGGAACTGAAGAAACAAAGATGTGGAGTACCAAAACTATCTCAATATACTACCTACTAATAGAATAAGCCAAGTCATTACCTTGACTTTGTCTGACTTGCTCAAAGTAGCCTAGGCTTTATCTCTTGTGGAAGGGATAAAAACCATTTCTTCCATCGTCAATACAATGCTATTGGGACAATTATAGAAGCATGCAAGTCGGTGGTGAAACCAAGAGCTTTGTAGCATTCTTAGTAAGGAGTGCATTTGAACAAATCTACCCTTGAAACGGTGCCAGTTTGTAAACACATGAAGTGTGGCTTCAGTAGGGAAACCTACAAAAGGCAGGGATGACTAACCAACCCAAATAGCTAGAAACACCAGAAACTGTCAGAAGTCTGACGACTCCAACATGCCTGCACATAAGGATAAGTTGCATTTTCCCATCTATTGTTTCTAGTGCAAATGGGGGTGGAGGGACTTTGTATGATCGTGTTGGTTTCTTTTTAAATAAAAAACTTCAGTTAGTTTACAGGGATTTTTAAACAATATTTTATTCCATCCTCCACTCCACCCGCTTAAGAAACAAATTTTGGAACAATCTGACTAAGCTACTGGGCAGACAATTGGCCAGACCAAATTTAAGCAATCTACAACGCACTTTTTGATGTTACTTGATTATATATGTCACCAAGGAGGTTCTTAAATCTATAGTTGAACTCTTGGTTAAGGAAAACAAGTCTCAATAATCATGTAAAACACATGTGCTATGTCCCTCAGTGGGCTGTCAAATATACTAACTACTGAATTTTTCCTTAAAGTCTGACATCTCTAGCTATTTAATTTTCCTCCCTTTAAAAAAAAAAAAAAAAATCTTTCTAAAAAAATTCAAGAACATCCACCAAACAGAATAGTTAAAAATAATTAAATAAAAAAACCACAATTCATAGATCCCCAGGATAAAATTTCCAAAGCATTACAGGTGGAAAGAAAATGCGTGCATACACACACATTTACATAAAGATGCAAAAATATTTATGGCACCCTAAGAAAAACATGACAGTGAAAGCAAACAATCCTAGCACAACAGGACAAACCTGGTGTACCATTCTCTTGGGGCAGGTATAAAACTAAACAAATGCATTTGCTGGCGGAGGAAGGGAGGGCAGAGAGCAATACCCACTTAAACTTGTTTCATTCAGGAGCCAGGTTAACAAACCAAAGCAGCCAAAAAGGCTCCCGTGCAAAACATAACCAGTTGAAGGTCCCAAATCGGGAAGAACTAAACTAGAGGAAGGGGGGACCCCCGAAGCTCTTGAACAACCCGTTCCCCAAATTTCCACGCCACACAACAGGAGCTGGGGGCTTCCCTCGGACTCCATTTTCAGGCCGCGTTGTCTGCCTTTCAGGCCACGCAGAGTGGGCATTTGGGTGAGGCCGGGGTCCCCCACCCACCTTTCCTCCCCGCCCTCTTCATTGTTGCCGGAGCGTGATGGATCACCTGCCGGGCGCGGGCTCCCGCGGGCGGACGCGCAGAGCGCAAGGACGCGCAGTGACTAGCGCCGCGCGCCTCCCGCAGGACCCGCGCCCCGCGACCCCAACCTGCTGCCCGCCCCCACCGTGCTCACCGCCACGAAGCCCGAAGAAGAGGCGATGAACACGCGGATGACCATCCTCTCGGTGCGCCCGGGACAGACCCCTTGCCCCCGGGCTCCGGGCTGGCGTGGACGCAGAGCTGAACTCTGCTACGAGCCGCCGGTCGCCTCCGGTTAAAGAACTGCCGTCGGGGAAGATCGCTGGGATCTGGCTCCCTCCCACCGGGTCCGCAGATAAAAGCCCAGCGCCGCCCGGCCGCAGGCTGAAGGGGAAGGAGAGGGAGGAGGAGGGAGCCGGCTGCGGGGCGTGATGGGAGTTGTAGTTTCCGTCTCTCCCTGGAGTGGCTGGTGGACTGAGCTCCCCTCCTGACTGCGCTTCGATCCCGAACACGCGCAGGTGGCTGGAGGGGAGCTGCAACCTGGGGAGAAGCTGTGAGTTGGGTTGGCAAGGATCCTAGCTTGACGAGGAAAAAGCAAACTAGGCAAAAGGGCTTGGTTCAAAGTCCAAGCTTGGGTTCTGTATTGTGGTTTACTGGTTTGGAGCATCCACACCCAGAAATGCCAACAGACACGATCGTGCTGCGGGCACACATCGTCTGAGGGCCGCTGGAGTACCAGGCTAACCCCAGCTACCTGAAGCAGGCGGGATCAGCGAGCCGGGTGCTCGGGAGGTGTGGACGGTAGGGCTCGCTTGTTTGTCCAGTAGCACTGGAGATTGCAGAAAGGTGATTATTTGGGGTAAATGAGAGGTCTTCTCTTGTCTGTACACACTGAAAATTAGAAACCCACATGGGAGCACAACCAATATTTTATTTTTCTTAGCAAAACTGTAATTGTAGTAGAAAAAAAAATACCAAACGAAATTGGAATCCTTCTATCAACATTGGAAATCAGGACCTCACCCGCCCCACCCCTACCCTACACAATGGCTTCGCCTCTGTGCGCCTAATATTTACAGTTCAGCCAAATCTGTGCCTTTTTCAGAACTGCTGCACATTCCAGCGCAGTTTCCCAGGAGGATGCTGTTAAATAAAAAGCCTTTAGATAGTTGCTAATAGTTTAGGAATAGTTTTTTATCAAGTGCTTTCTGTTTGACAAAAGCTCAAGCCTCTCTCACAGTTTTGTTGAAAGGAACCAGTTTTCCCTGCTGTACTGTATTTACTTCTTTGCTTTCAACACGGGAGTTTAGCAGAGGTCTGGGAACAATGTTAATTAAGAAAAAGTAAGAAATTAGATGATGAGGTCTGTGGCTCTTTGATAAATTTCTTGCACAAAGAGCAATCATTATGAAGTACTTTTTAGAGCAGTTATGAATATTTCAAGTTTGTAACCTTTTCTATTGCTTTTCTTAAAGCCATTTCTGTAGTAGGAATCTTTTTAAATTTCCTTCAATAATAGAAGAGACAATCCTAATGGGACTTTATTTCTTCTTCGTGTTTAAAATTTTAAATAGAAGCTTTGCTGTCTTTAGTATCTCTTGGCAAATGTACTTTGATTTTGCTACCATAAATGTGGAAATGCATGTTTATAAAATAGAAAGTAATTTTCTTAAAAGTAGATACCATAATTCCTGTATAAATGCAAGTCTTTATAAAAGTCAACATTTTCTTCAGTTTGGAATTATTCAGCTATGAAGATATTGTTAAACTCAAATAATTGGAACTCAGAACCTACTCCGTGAAAGGTACAAGAATGGATAAAAGTTGAACAAGTCATTTCTCTGTCAGCAGAGCACCTATTGTCTGGGAAAGAAAAAGGCAGATACAGAAATAGGGACAGAACAAGACACACTGCACCAATACAGTGTAGTGTGGATGTAAAGGAAAAAGGTGGCCATTGTAGAAGGTACTTTAAAGATGAGTGGAATTTCTGTCTGCAGATCGTGAGGATGCAGGGTGAGACTATTCAGGGTGTGTGAAGAGAACAGCAAGGAGTTGGTTTTACTTCAGAAAGGAATATGAGGGGACTAGTAGAGGACAATGTGAAAAAGTAGGTTTGAATGAATACCAACAAAGGACTTTCACTGGGTTATCTGCTCAGCTCCTTGGGATTTCTGCTCCTTTCCTCTGATCCTAGAAGTTGTAAGGGTCCCCAAAGCCCTGGACATACAGCAGGACCTAACCCTCTGACCACAGCTTATTGATCTAGGAGTGAGCACCTGAGCCAAGCAAGGCCAAGCAACATTTCTACCCTAAAGATTCAGAATTGGAACTGGGAAAACAAGAGAGCTTGAATTTGTGACATGGAAGCTCAGAGCTTCCAACATGAGAATCAGAGAAGCTGAAGAAGCTAGTCGGTAGAAAGAGAACAACAGATAATTTGTAAAAAAGAGTTGGAGATAATAGCTCTAAGTTTTAGAAAGAGTCCTGACAATACTGTCATCTAAGGGTCCGCAAACTATGACCTGCGTATCAAATGCACATGGCTGCCTGTTTTGTAAATAAAGCTTTACTGAAACACGTTCCTCTTGGTATTGTCTATGGTAGACTGACAGAGGTCATATGGCCCACAAAGCCTAATACATTTACATCTGGCCTTTACAGAAAAAGTTTGCCAATCTCTGATCCTGTTCAACCTGTTCCTATATCCCTGCTCTTGAGGGCTGTGTAATATCTCTGTATCTGTAAGTTCCTCATCTTGCTTAAGCCACCTGAAATAGGTTTTGTTTCATGGAACGAAAAGTGCCCTGAGAAGTTCATAAGCAGTCTGTGTCCAAATGTATTCTGAGGAACAGAAGGATATTGTCGGAACTATACTTCAAGAAGAATCCTCTATATTTTCCACCCTGAATGAAAAGGTTCACCTTTCGACCTTGTATGCAGGAGAAAATGTGTTAGCAATCCAGTAAAACAGCAAGGCCATTATGGAGGTGAGACCCAGAGTCAGTAAACAAAGTGGAAGAGTAACTGAGAGCAGAACGCAATCTAGGATGTAGGCTAGAGGTCCAAGATCAACACCAGGTTGTCAGACCACAGAGAGTATTAGATGCCAATCTTACACATAAGGTCTACAGATAGAGCGGGTAGTCAAAACTGAAAGATAAGACTAAGAAAATCGAGCAGGTCATTAGGCTTGAAGAAAGTGGCTCCTATGTTGCCTAGGACTTTATCGCCTTTCCAAGTCCTGATAGACCACATGGCTAGAATGTTTTAAAGTAGGGGTTCTTGACCATTTTTTTGTGTGGGAGTAAGAGGAGGGCCAAGGACCCTTTAGTAGTCTGATGAAATCTATCGGTGGTTTCTCAAAAAAAAAGTTTCTAAATATAGAAAATTTGAAAGTATAAGATTACAAAGGAACTGTATTGCAAAACAATTACCAAAATGTTAAAATTTTGACATGATAATGTGTATGATTCTTTATTAATGTATTAAATATTAAGATTGAGTGGTGGATCAAATGGCCGTCGTGATTTTGAAGTAGTAAAGGGAAAAGATAAAATTTTGAGATATTTGCAATAATTGGAAAATATGAAAATGCCTATGATTTCTATTGGTAGCAAAGTCACAGTGTTACTGCTCTTACAAAGGCTTATTAACTACATTCATAATTGAAGGAATTGGTAAATTTCAGTTAGAGTTTAGTGAAAAGATAAAGATGTGAATTTTTTTTCTCATTCAAGTCCATGAACCCCCTAAATTCTATCAAGTCCTTTTAGGCTGGGGGTGAGGGGAGATCCAAGAACCCCAAGTTAAGAAATCATGATGTCGGCCGGGCGCGGTGGCTCAAGCCTGTAATCCCAGCACTTTGGGAGGCCGAGACGGGCGGATCACGAGGTCACAAGATCAAGACCATCCTAGCTAACATGGTGAAACCCCGTCTCTACTAAAAAAATACAAAAAACTAGCCGGGCGAGGTGGCGGGCGCCTGTAGTCCCAGCTACTCTGGAGGCTGAGGCAGGAGAATGGCGTGAACCCGGGAGGCGGAGCTTGCAGTGAGCTGAGATCCGGCCACTGCACTCCAGCCTGGGCGACAGAGCAAGACTCCGTCTCAAAAAAAAAAAAAAAAAAAAAAAAAAAAAAGAAATCATGATGTCTGACTATATCTAAATCTACAGAAGCCTATTATTTTGCCTAAGAAGAAAATATGGAAAGAGACAAGAAGGAGCCATGAAGAGTCCCTTGGAGATCTCCTACATTTAAGAATTGGAAGAAGAACAAGGAATTAAAAATAGTAGAGGAGCAACCAGAACAGTACAAAACTGAAAGAGTATACTGTCACAGAAACCAAGAGAAGAATTTTAAGTTTCAAAATGTAGAGACTATCTAAGAATGTTAGCCTGAAAGTCAAGAAAGATTATATTGAAAATAGAGACTTTCCTTGGGCAAATTTCATCACCTCCATAAGCCTCAAGTTTCTTGTCTATAAACTGGGTATAAATAATGGCTATCAATCAATATTCTAATGAGAATTAACTACCCTTGGGATATTATTTAAGTTATGCTGTATAGTGCCTGTCAACCCACAGCCCTTCTAGAGGGAAGTCTCAGGCTACCTGGTCACATATATTTGGAATATTTGGACCATATTTGTGTACTTCCCCCGGCATGACCTATTGCAGCTTGTAATTTGCAACATATGTGACCAGGTTGGAAAATACATGCAGGTCCTTCAAATTCCTCTTTTAGGAATTTATAGTTAGAAAATTTAAAGACTAAGGCAGTTAGCAATAGAACAAAGGGAGATGGTGTGAGGCTGGGATAGGGTTGGGATGAGAAGCTTTGAGCAAGTTAAGGCAATTAAGGGACTGAAATGAGTAAAAAGAGGAAGCTAGTCTGTGGCCCAGGGAAATGGAGTCATTATGTGGTGAGAAGCTGAGACACTAACAAGGAGGATCACAGTTGTCTTGCTTCCAGTCTTAGTTTTCATGAATTCAAGTCTGCCGTGGTTCCTGCCCTTGAGTTGCTGTTTCATAATCCCCCTCCTTTATCTTGAGCTACTTTAAGTGGGTCTATTTTCTTTCAACTATTAAATCCTGACCAGAATACCTATGTAAAGCGTGGGTAGTAAATCATGCTTCTTTAGGGGTCAGGCAGGTGACACTGATTAGGGAGGTGAGGAAGATCCAAGTGCAAATATATTCACTTCATGCAAAGGGTGGGCACCATGAGGACTGTAGCTGAAGTATTCTGGTTTTTGAATGCTGGCTTGATTTTTAAAAACTGAGCCCAGTAAACTCAGGTTTGCTCACTAAACTCACCATCTACAGGCACAGCCCTGTGGTCCTCCAGGTTTCTCTCTCCATTGTAAAGCACTGAGCCCAGAGTTTGGCACCCAATAAATCCACAAGAAGCACTAGCTGTTATCATGGTAATAGTTTATTATCATTGCTGACCTTTGTGAGAGCACTTCCATTAGAGAAGTGGAGACAGAAGCCAGATTGCAGTGTCTTGAGGACTGGAACCTGATGAGGTAATAGAGGCAATGATACA